TACAGGAGTAGATCCTACGTGAACAGGCCCCCACCTGGTCATCCTCTCAACAGCAACAGTGGTAAAAGTTCTCATCCTGCTCTCCTGATTCCATATCAACCAAGCCAAGCGGTACCCAGACAACTCCACTCCACCTGACAATGCCACTGTTTCTGATCTTGAGCCCTTGTCACTTCAGTGGTGATCACAATTCCTGTTGCCTACACATCTTCACCTTACTAAGGGTTCAGAAACCCCAGGGTAACTCATGTGTTGCTTTTCTATTGGTTTCTGATCCCCTAACTTCTGCTAGTCTTTTTGTTTGCCACTGGATTCTGGACCATTTGCCCAGACAACTTTCAGATGCCACAAAAGATTTCTTCAATCTGGATGTGAGCCTTCACTCATGATAAACTTCTTGTCTTGGCTGAAACACTTGGCACTAGCTTCTATATGAGCATGAACCATCATCCTGTCAACCTCCTTTACCCCAGATGATGGCCTCATTCAGTAGGAAGTAGTCTAAGAAAGTCATCACCCCTTCATAACAACTATAAGATGAAAATGATAGGTTATGGCCCAAGTACAGACTGCTAAAATTATCATGGCCTGATTTAACATGGCTGAATCCCCCCACACAGCATCTTATCTTCCCCAGTGACCACTTCCTCCTCCTTCCCCACTCCAGCCCTTCCTACCTACACAAGGGAGCCTCCAGTCAATTCCTTGTGTGTCACTGAACCTGCCCCTCAAGTTCTGCCCCTAGTTAATGTCCACAAAGTCTCAGGCTCCCTGTAACAGGTCAGAGGAACTTCCCATTTCCCTGCCCTCAACCCTGTTCATGTCTTCAGAGTTAATAGAGGCTCCCAGTCCTCCTTATTTCTGCTTCTCTGTTGTGCTACCACCACTGATAAAACTTGATCTATACATATGTCTATCTATCTATCTATCTATCTATCTATCTATCTATCTATATTTTGTCTAAAGAAAAAATTAATGTAAATATCAACAGATATGTGGTTGGGTGTTTTGTATCAGATAAGAAGTCATTTGAGATACAGAATAGTGAAATCGGACGAATCTGCTTTGTATATAAATGGGCACAAAAACTATTAAATTATTAAAGTTATTTTCCCACTAAGGTCTCTATTTCCACAGCCTTTTCTCTTGCATGGTGTAAATTTCTCATGCTATACTGTTTACCATGTTAAGTGTTAGAAGCAGGGTCACACTATCACCAAAAACTTTCTCTATGATGCACCTTGCACCTGGGCTAGTGGCCTACTACATGTACATTAAAATAGTTTTTAGTGTAAGGTCCAGACAGCCTGATGCTGTGAAGCATATTGGAAATGATGACACTGAGTGAATGGGCAGACTGTGAGTTGGGCATACAGGCAGGCACCCTACCACTCTTCTGAAGAAAAACCTGAGCCCTAAGAGGACACGCCTTCACCTGCTGCCCCTGCATTGTGGATAAAATGCATAGTTACATAAACCCCAATGCCATAAGACTGCAGTGATCCTACTCACCAGTAGCAATAAAGTGTAGGCAGTCATTATCCCAAATAAACTCAACATTAGAATGGACCAGAAGAACCAGCATCCTGTTATTAGAAAAACGACCCTGAAAAAAAAATTGTTTCAATTTTTTTTGTTTAAACTATTTATTTATTTATTTATTTATTTGATACAGAATCTCACTACACAGCTCAGACTCCTGTCTGAGCCTCACCAGTGCTGGAATTACAGGCTGGCCCCACCATGCCCAGTCTCAATGGCTGGCTCGGTGCACACAGGGTTCCAGGGGCCAGCACGGCAGTACTGGGAATCAAACCTGGGTCCTTGTCCTTGGCAGCAGGCACTTAGAACACTGAGCTATCTTCCCAGCCCTCAATTCTTAAAATATAGTAGAAATCTGTAATAACATTTACATCAAGTATGGGGACAAGACCAGACCAGAAGAGGCATGAGGAAAACACTTTGTGAACACATCTGTGGAAGCTTTGGAGATGTTTTCTTGGGTTTTAACTTTGCCCTGTAAGCAATGGGGCCATCATTGTGCTTGCTGGAAGTGGTAGGGTTTTTTTAAAGTTACTGAGAACATGTCTTCAAAAATTATGTCCTGTTTAAAATACAATAAAGAAACTCATTAATACCAAAT